CGCGAGGCTGGAGGTGAGCGGGAAGGAAGCCAGGCCACGACTCCTCCTTCCTCCCGAAAGAAAGACACTTTCCCACGGTCCTTCCAAAACGCTTCCGCTGCCCTCAGCGTGGAGAAGACGCGGGCGCGGGACCCCAAGCCGGTTCTTGACCCCCAACCAGACTCACCACTGCGCGGGGGGAGCGAGGTGGGGGGCCTGACCCAAGTGCCCCAGGCCAATCTCTGGTTTCCCAGATTTAGCAAATAAAAATGCCGGAGGGACAGCTGAATTTGAGTTATAGTTTCAAAAGCGATAATAAAAACTCGATAAGCATACGTATAGTCCATGCAATATTTGGGACAAACTTATACGTTAAAATTTACTGGGGCATTTGAAATTCACAACTGGGCGGCCTGTATTTTCACTGGCAGCCTGTCCCAAGCATGTCCCAGGCCTAATGCCGGGGTGCCCAGCCAGCCCCTCCGGAAGGGGACCTCGCCCCCAGGGAAAAGGCAGGCGCCTGCTTTCCTAAGCTCCCCGGGCAGGACAAGCTCTGGGGTTTTCGCGGTGTTTGTTGCTGAAAGGAAGGTAGTCCCTCCAGACTCCAGCTGCAGGGCTGGGGCGAGTTCAGGGAGGGGTGTGGCGAGTGGGGGTTGAGCCCAAACGGGTGATGTGGCTGCTGGTTCCTCGGGCAGCCAAAGGAAACCGGTGAGAGATTCCTGCCTGGCCGAGAGTTGCCCAAGGAGAAGGGTGGGACAGGGTGTTGGCTGCTTTCCTTCAGGGAGAATTCTTCCACCTCAGCTCCACGAAGCCAGGATTGGACAGAACAGGCAGGCAGCTGGCGGGGTGCCTGTCCGGTGCACAATCTTGGTGCTGCTCCAAAGAACACGTCTGCTGAAACCTGAATCACAGCTCTCCTGAGCCTGAGCTCAGCGCTATTGACCACTCTCCCCGTTTCAGCTGCTCACAGGTAAATCTGTTGGAAAAAGGTGACTTTTATTTCTGGAAAATTCTTCATCATACCCTTGCAGCCTTGATGAGCTGGCATTTTGGGGGGAATCATTGGAGCCTTTCACTCCCTGCTCTCTCAGGTGCCCCTTTAGGAAGGGGTGCTGCCAAGGGGAAGGGAGCTAACGTAGTGGAATGACTGCCTGTTGTCACCACTGGCTCTTTATATAAATTTTTAACTCTCACAGTATCTTGTGAGACAATTGTTTGGTGTGTGTGTGGTTTTTTTGTGAGACTATTTGATGATTGAGAAACCAAGGTAATGAGGATGGCTCTATTTTATTGTTAATCTTCACCCAAGGATTTTTTTCTATTAATTACTTGAAAGAGTGGAAGGGATTGGGAGAGACAGAGACAGAGACAGAGAGAGGGAGAGAGAGAGAGAGAGAGACATCGGGTGGTTGCCTCCCACATGTGCCAAACCAGGGCTAGGGATCTAGCCTGCAACCGAGGTACATGCCCTTGACCAGAATCAAACCCAGGACCCTTCAGTCCACAGGCCAACATTCTATCCACTGAGCCAAACCGGCCAGGGTGGATGGCTCTTTAAAGTCTTTCCCATGGAGAGAGTATTGGCTCAGCAGAAAATGCCCCACCTTGAAAATGGCGTTGGGAATGAAGGGTGGGGTCATGAAGGGTGGGGTCATGTGGGCCTCCAGCTCTTGTCCCTGGAGCAAGCCTCAGGGATGAACATGCAGTGGAACGCCCAACACCATCCTAGAGTCAGGCCTAACAGAGGTAGCTAGGGACACAACTCCCACCCCTCCCTGTTGTAGGCAGAACCTAGGAAGTTAACCTTTGATATAAGGGCCTGCCATCAGGACTTCCACAGCATAAGCCCCTGTAGTCAGGCAAGGGGTTAATGCAGGCTTGACATTTGGTGGGCATCTCCTCTGTGCTAAAAGGTCTTTGTTTTTTCTTATTTATCCTAAGTAATCCTCCCAATCTTGTATGGGAAGTGTTGTTATCATTTTATAAATAATGAAGTTGAGGTTCCAAGAAGAGATTGTATCACACTGAGTTTGTAAATGGCAGAGCCAAAATCTGAAACAAAAACCCTGTTTAAGAAATATGTTTTTATTTTTTTAATATATTTTATTGATTTTTTTACAGAGAGGAAGGGAAAGTACAGAGAGTTAGAAGCATCGATGAGAGAGAAACATCGATCAGCTGCCTCCTGCACACCCTCCACTGGGGATGTGCCCGCAACCAAGGTACATGCCCTTGACCGGAATCGAACCTGGGACCCTTCAGTCCACAGGCCGATGCTCTCTCCACTGAGCCAAACCGGTCAGGGCAGAAATATGTTTTCATTTATTTCAGAAAAGAAGGGAGAGGAAAAGAGAGAGAGAAACATCAATGATGAGAGAGAATCATTGATTGGCTGCCTCCTGCACACCCCACACTGGCGATCAACCCCAACACCCAGACATGTGCCCTGACAAGGAATCAAACCGTGACCTCCTGGTTCATAGGTTATACTGTCCAACCACTGAGCCACACCAGCCAGGCTGAAACAAAAATCTTTAAACCTCTCTTTCCACTCCCCAACAGCTACCCAGTGCATCTCCCACCTGGATGTGACTTGCCTGACTGCTTGTCTCAGAATTCTATAGAATGAGAGCATGAATATTACCATGAGAAGCAAACACCTCTGTTGAAAACCTAAGGAGCCAGTGAACTCAGATGCCCTCCTCTCCCACAAACTAAGGCTTGAATGAGCCACAGCATCCAGCCCTTCTCTCACCCAGCAGTTTCTGCCCCCAACCTGTCTGGGGTCTGGGGTCTAACCTACTATTGGACTGACTCCACATTCTTTTTCTTTTTATTTTTTATTTTTTGGTGCATGGGCCGGGAAACTGACTCCACATTCTTAAAACTCTTTTTACTCAGACCTCGTTTTTAGAGCAATAGAATGTTAGAGCCCGAAGGGACTATAGAGATTATCAATTATCTTCAATAGATGAAGAAATTTGAGGCCCAAAGAAGTTAAATGATCTACTCATTAAAGTCACCTTTGTCAACTAGGTCAACCAACAATCCTTTGGATGCTGCTCTGGTTGTTTTCAGCCCTGGTGTCCAGGGTTTTAGCAGTGCCTTCAGGGGCCGGCTCTCCCAGCCCTTAGACTTAGAGGTGTACTGATTCTGCTTCCACTCCTCCACTCACCTCAGGATTTTGAATAGTGTTTCCTGTCCAGTTTGGACATCCTGTTTATTTTCAGAAGAAATCCCTTGTTTAGCCAGAAGACACCCCACCTGAAGAGCCCCAGGTTGATTGTGACCCAAACCAAGGGTTTGAATGAAACCAGACCTCCTAGAGGATGCTGCCAGGTGAGCAGTGACATTTTAGGGACTGGAGCTGGCTCTCCCTTCTGAATGTGCCCTTTCAGTGTATGTCATTCCTAGACACTTCTTAGGTCCTGCCTTGTTCTCAGGCTCCCTTAGAGCAGTCGAAGGCCCTGAAAAGACCGACCCCAAGAACTTAGGTGAAAAATATTCCTGAGGTGCCCCTTATCAGGCTGATGCAAAATGAAGTCCATTTGAGGGGTTTCTTTCACTCTAGAGAACTATTAAAAGGCTATTTCCGCCCTAGCTAATTTGGTTCAGTGAATAGAGTGTCAGCCTGTGAACCAAAGGATCCCGGGTTTGATTCCAGTAACGGACGTGTACCTTGGTTGCAGGCTCCTCCCCTGCCCATGCCCTGGTGGGGGCTCGTGCAGGAGACAACCAATCGATGTGTTTCTCTCACATTGATATTTCTCTCTGTCTTTCCTTCTCTCTCCCACTTTCTCTAAAAATCAATGGGAAAATATCCTCAGGTGAAGATAAATAAAATAAAATAGCTGTTCCCCATACAGACAATAGGAAAGGGTTAACTTTCTCTCAGGTCCTGAGCAAAGTCTGTCCCCCACCAGTTCCCATAACCGGGTTTCCTGAAGTGGAGCAGGTCCCAGGTGCCTCTCCACTAATCACATCCTTGGAAATGGGGCCACGAAGCTCAGATTAGCTCATCCCGTCACCTTCGTGAGGCCTTCTCCACCTGGAGCACAGAATCTGGGGCAGCTTCACTACTCACCTCTCTCTGCTTTCCTATCAGGGGTCAAACAGGGATGTTTGTGCAGAGGAATGTTAGGTGAGGGGGGCACTAGAGGTCATAGTGATGCTGACTTTTGTGCCACTTCTTGGACTACAGCATTCATTCTTCCTCACTCTAAGATTTATGGGCAAAGTAAAGATCCTCCAACCCCAGAGCACTACCCAAGTTTATATGACTAGAGTCATGTTTTCTTCTTCACTCCATTCTGTTCTCTTCCTCTCCTTCTTGAAATAACTGACAATGATACTGGATTGCTTCCTGTTTTTCCTGGCTGAGAATCACCCTTTGCACAGAGTCTCTGGTTTTTCCACCAGGAGCAGGTTCTGGGGCCAGCCCAGGAGATTTTATTCCTTTCCTGTTAGTGTCCAATTTCTCCTCTTCCTAGATAACCAATAAAATCTGTAGCACAAAGTGGTTCTGCCCTCTGTAATTGGTTTTTACCTTCTTCCCAGGCAGGTGCATTTGTCCTACCCACTGATATCCACTGGGAAGGAAGTATTCTTTGTGGCATAGAAGCCTTGGGAATGCAAACAGCAATGTAATCTAGTCACAGATGGTGAAGTAAATCTATTGATCCAAAGGCCAGATGATCAACTTTATTTGAAAGACAAATAGGCTAACTGAGACAAAGATTTGTCTTCTAAGGATCCCACTAAAAAGGACACTGACTGCACGTGTTCAGTCTTGGATCAGTCTTTTGTATGTCCACAGTACTCTGAAGGACTTTACCAGGAATGCTGGTATACAAAGTCTCTAAAGTTGGTAATATGGAACCTCATTGAGCTGATTTTTCACTGATTTCTTAATTTGACTTGATTTTCATCTGTTCTAGTTTTCAGGCCATTTCTATCTTCTGTTTCCCCAACTTTCATTCTCACCAGTTGAAAACAGACTGTGGGATCCAAAGTCTAAAGGGGTCAGGATGTCTGAATTATTTTCCCATTTTACCACTCACTTTAGGTGTTATGTTCTAGTTTTCCACAACTAAAATAGGAAAATTCCCCCAGGAATGTAGTTAAAATAACATCTGTGAGACAATTAGAGAGTTTTAGAATCTTCAAATTAGAAGAAATCTTAGAAATCATTTAATCTAGTATTTCCTAACCAGAGGAACAATATTTTTTCCAGTTCCTTTTCTTTATCCCCACCCCTCTTCCTGACTAGGCTCTGTCTACCTCCTTTCTCATGTCTTCCTGGTATTCAAGATAGAGAATTGATCTACTTTGCATAATATATTTAGTGTGTATAGGGTTGGGTAACACTGCCCTAATTCACCTCCCTATTTCATGCAGTAGTCATTCCAACAGTCCTGACAAGATGATATCTAGCTTTTAATTAAATATCTAGTGTTGGGAAATTCGCCACCTCAGAATCAACCCATTCCAGTTCTGGACAGCAGTAGTTTGGTGGAGACTTTTTTCATTATATTGAATTGAAACCACAGAAAACTCATCTAATCCTTTTGTAAAAGGAAGTGGGGAATACCCAGGATTGTTCTTGTTAACTGGTCACAGTGGTTCAGGCCTGGCCTAAGTGATTATATTCCAGATGTAATGTGCTTTGTACACGAGCTGTGTTCCTAAAACATCATACAAACCCAATTTTGTGTGAATCAAATCATTTCAGACATACTGGGAAGTTGACTATTTTTTTAAAAAAAAACAACTTGTTTTCAGTTCTCTCATAAACTGAAGAATACCTTTGCAATACAAATAACCTCTCCCATTAACCTTTTATGCAAATCTAGATTTTCCTACATCATTACAGGCACACCTCATTTTGTTGCACTTCACTTTATAGTGCTTCAAGGATGTTGTGTTTTTACAAATTGTCTTATAATTTTTTTTTTTACAGACTGAAGGCAAGACCCTCCACCAGCAAAAAGATTACAACTTCCTTTACTGCAATGCTTGCTTTATTGCATTGGTCTGGAATTAAGCCTGTAATATCTCTGAGGTATGCCTGTTTGTTTTACTTAAGGCAAGAGTTGCCTACATACAAAACAAGTAAAATAATGCTCCTTATCAGACATCAGGCACCTGACATGCATTATTTAATTTCTTACCACAACTTCTTTAAAATTATCTCCTATTTACAGATGAGAAAACCAAGGCTCAGAGAAATTAAATAATTTGTTCAAGGTCACACAATTATAATGTGATGGGCCAGGATTTCAACAAGGCCATAAGACTCCAGAGTCTTGTTTCTAACCGCCAAGAAGTTTTGGGTGCCACTAATAGTTGAACAATAATAATGCCACAGTGCAAGTAAATTAAGTTACAATACAGAAAACTGACCTAAAATTTCTATATTTCAAAGATGTGCACTAAATCTACTCTTGTTGGGTTCTAGAACTGTAGGTTTCCCGGCACAATTCACATTTTCCAGTGCAATTTGATTAAGGAACCCCAAAGACTTCCCTTCAGCTATTGGTAGTAAGCAGATGCTACCCAAATTTATTTCAGGTATACGGGTATGATCAGACATTTTTTCAAGGGGTCTGTATTACCAGGGGTTTGTGGCATACGCTTCTTAGAAGATAGGAGTGGTTCGTTATTGACAGGTTAAAATAAAATGTATTGAGAATCCTGGTTGATCCCAGCCTGCTCCTAGAAGGATTAGAACCATTAAAATGGGTTATTAGGCCCAGTTTTTAATAGTGTTTAGGTTTGGAACTTAAAAATAGTTTTAGAGAGATGGTCCATAAAATAGTGCTGTTTTGAATCCAAGTTGGACAAGGATAAATGGATGTAATACTTTTGTGTCCTCAGAGCAATTCCATTTTCTTCACTTTAGTCAACAACAGCGTTGACTCACAACCTTGCTCAGTTCAGAACACATCCCTCAGGGCTCCTAGAACCCCAGACTTTTTTACACTGTGTAAGGGGCTCCAGGTAAGATTCTCTTCTGTCCTCCAGGCCCCACCTCCCCACACCCTACCATGAGAATGCCCCATTTGACTTAAGACTCTCCCTTGGCTCATCTGCAGACTTTCACTTTCAAATACATGATTATTCTTTGCAAATTATGTCCTGAGCTGGTGTTGCACTGGCCTGCTGGTCCACGGTAGTCGCAGGAAGTCACGTCTGTCCTTGTGAGGTGCTGGCACTCCCCTTGCAAGCCAACCTTTCTGACCTTTACCTGTTTATCAGGCTTATTTACAATCTCAATCACAGACTCCAATGAGGAAATATGTAATTTTCTTTAGTTCTCAACTTAGTTCTTCGGACCCCATTTCTACTAATGGCAAGAAAAATGATAAACCTGGAAAATGCCAACTCAAGACAACTCAATCATTTCAAGTGGTATATGCAGTTTCTTAGGGTTCTCCTCCCTGTCCCCTTCCCTTCATGATGTTCTAGTTCGGGATTTATGGAGCATTCTGATATTGGGTGGAGGTGGGGGAAGGTCATGTGCCATCTTCTGTCTCTCTTACCTAACTGATAAAGAGTAGCTTCCTTGACCAGCTGGGGTGGTTCAGTGGTTGAGCATCGACCCATGAATCAGGAGGTTATAGTTCTATTCCTGGTCAGGGCACATGCCCCGTTTGTAGCCTGCATCCGCAGTAGGGGGCTTGCAAGAGGCAGGCAATTGATGATCCTCTCTCATCATTGCTATTCCTATCTCTCTCTTCCTCTCTCTTAAATCAATAAAAATATATTTTTTAAAATATATTTTTAAAAAATCATGTCCCAAGTTGGCATTACACTGGCCTGCTGGTCCACTGGGCCCCTTCTGCCCACTATTGTTTGAATCTAAACTCTTGCTCTCTTTTCTCAATTCTTCACTTGGCCTTGGCCACTGGGCTCTATGACCAGGGCATCTGCGGAAGAGCTCCTTGGCAGGTGGGACCTGTGGTCTTGGTGTAGACAGCGCAGTCCTTGCTTCATGGAGAGCTTGGTGGCTCCCATCTCAGCAATTCCCGGTGCTACTGAACCTCCATCTGTTCCCTAGGTTAGTCAGGTACCCCTCAGCTTCTACTGGGGCGTTCTCACCCCCCCCCCCCCCC